AGCGTGTGCTAGTGATTTCTTAAGTGTACGGATATTAGCGATGGCTCTATGTTTACGTGGAATTGTAAGTTATGTGTTAAAGTGGCCAATATATTCAATATCCAATCAAAAAGCCCGTCCATATTTGTTTTAATTCACTTAGTGGGGGGTGGAGTCCAATTGGTCCCACTCGGCACGGCGGCCACTGACTGACCTATTGTAGCCTGTCCCGGATGATTATGATGATGGAGAATTTGGTGGAATGAAGATTGACAGGGGAAACCGGAGTACTTGGAGAAAACCCGCCCCAAAGCCACCACAAATCCCACTTGAGCAGACGCGGGATCGAACCCGGGCCGCCGCGGTGGAAAGCCATCGACTAACCGCTTGAGCTATGGAGCGGCCTCCGTCTATATTTACTCCATACTGTGTGACAATATAGCCGGTCACGGTAGCCGAGCGGTCTAAGGCATGTACTGTCTTCGCTCGCTGGGAAGCCGGGATCGTGGGTTCGGATCTGTTTCCTGTGAGGTACGAACTGAATTCTTATATATTATTCTTATACACTGCCGGTCACGGTAGCCGAGCGGTCTAAGGCATGCACTGTCTTCGCTCGCTCGGGAGCCGGGATCGTGGGTTCGAATCCCACTCAGGATATGGATGTTTGTGTGCGTTTTTCTGTATTTGTCTACAGGTAGAGAGACCTTGCGACGAGCTGATCACTCGCCCAACGTGTCCTACCGAAAGTGTAAGATCTAGAAAAACCGAAGTGAACGGAGAAGCTCATGGAGGTAGGCCTAGGCCCACTGGGGCTGTAGTGACAAGGAAAAGAAAAAAATGTGACAATATAATGGGCTATAATTTTCAATACTGTTTCGTATGGGTACGAACCCTGATCTCTCAACCTATACCATATATCCAGGGTTGGATTTGAGTTTCTCAAAACAGTGATCACGAACTGGAATATGACCCAATAAAGCCTTGTAGAAGTTCAATCGAAATTTCGGATGAATTCACTACCTTCATCTTCAGGGTAAAATTGTAAGCCGAGTAAAGCAGCAAGGAATTCGAATGTTTGTTGCTAAACATATACACTTCCCTAGAATTATCTAGCCTGAGTAGGGCCCTCTATTTATCAAATTACTAGAATGGCATTGGAGGGATTTCAGGACCACGGGAGATGAGTTCTGAAACTGTGGTTTTAAATTATAAAATGTCAAACTTCATGTTTTAAACCCGCGTCAAAATTAATTTTATCTAATGCGACGCAAAATGCCCCCCCCCAATCGTGGACAGGATATATTTAATTAAAACAGAATTACAGGTTTACGCAAGCCCATGATACCTGTATGCGTATTCTAACGGAAAGTCCACTCTCGTTAACGTACAATGAATTTTAATAAAATTGTGTACCTTGAAACCTAATACCGCCAAATCAAGTTACTCATATGAAAGGCAAATATATTTTTAATAATATTTTAAACTTCAATTCGTACCTCACAGGAAACACACCACGTCTCCACTATAATAACTCATATTTTAATTTTGCGCAGGACGTTAACAGCTGTTTATCCAGATAAACATACAAAACACATCAGTACATTGGGTCTGAGTTTCTCACAGAGGTGGTTATTGACAGCTCTAACTTCCGGGATGTAAAGCAATGCAATCCACTGAAATTCAACCGACGTTTCAGAGAAAAATGTGTTTATTTTCGGGATTTTAGGGTAATGAAACAAGAAACCAGCTTGAATGCACTCAGAGCATTTTCCCTGACAATAGAACTCTTTCAAACAATTTTGTTCTTGTAAGATTTGAGGATTTCAAGGCGGTGACTATGAAGAAAGCAGTCATCTGGGATTTGGCACCGTGTATATGTGGTGTTAACCGACGTTTCGGAGGAACGTATCGCCTCCATCTTCAGAGTAGAAGAAAAAATATAAGAAATCCGCAAGCGAAGAGACCGTGAGACGTCGGTTAACAGCACATACGAGGGGGGACCCAAAAATAACCGGAATTTATTTCTGTTATTTTTTATTTTTGCATTTTTATTGAACTGTATATTAGTCCCCTTCAAAGTATTGTCCATGTGCATTAATGCACTCGTATACACGGTGCCAAATCCCAGGAGACTGCTTTCTTCAATGTTGTTCTTAACTGAATAAATGGCAAGCTACCACAGTTCGACACCCGGCATCAGCAGGGACTTTTCAATGGGGCTCAGACGATGGCACTATCCTACACGAGAAGAACGCGAGACAATTAACCAAACCCAGCCCGCGTGTATTATGAGTATGCAACTGAAAACATTTGCATGAGTTTTGACAATGCTTAGTATTGTCTCTAACACATAGATGCTCATTGCATCTTTAAATAAACAGTGGAAAGATAAAGGTAGACCAGATCTGCCCATTATCTGCCTCGCCTTGTCTTTGTTGGAGGAAATAAAGGCAAAATTCTATGCGAATCAACTTTAGCTCTTCCTGTGGCTTGTGTTACGCCTACGAAATTGAAATACGCGGGCCTGCTCTTCCTTTCGTGGTCATGTTTGAGATCATTTAAGTAAATTTGGTCAATAAACAAAGAGAAGTAAAGAAATGTAAGAAAAAGCAGAAGGTAAGAGGTAAAAAAGGTAAATTTGTCTCGGTGCTTAACTAATTAAATGCTACGCCATGAAGGCGTATGGAGGAGTTGATGTATAGCTCCACACATTCTTTACCTCGGCACTATTTGGAGTTGAGTGGTGAGCTTCACGTCCCGGCCGCTTTACTTCCGGGAAAACATCCCCCGGTATCCATTGGATAGAAGGTTAGGTGGGCCCCAGGGCCGGTCTGGATGACATGGAGAGGGGAAAATATATTGCCTTTACCGGGACTCGAATTCGGATCTCTCAATTTTTCTTTTAATTCATCTTCTCTAAAAACCACGATTTCTTTGCAGCATTTGAGCGGTGGTTATAAAGAATTCTATCTTCATGCATATAACGTCGTGTAGTTCGTTGAATGTCAACGGAAATTCCGTTGAAATTTGAATATCAACGGAAATATCCTTTGAAATTTGAATATCAACGGGCTACACAGCGTTTTATCCCAGGAGATTGAACTCTTCGCATTTTTCTTTTCAGTTATTTATCTGCATAGAAAATCCTGTAGTCGTGTAATTCAATTTGCAAATTGAGATATATATTACAGTTTACAAATCTGACCAGAAAGAACTGATCGTCCGCAAATAGCATGATAATAAAATTTATTTTTATATTTCATGACCTCAAAAATGAAAATGATAAAACTTGGGAACATTGATGACTGAAATCAGTATGGCCTATGGGGACAGACAAATGCACCGAAAGCAGGAACCGTTTGTGACAGGTAATTTCCATGAATCTGGAAACTGAAAACAGCCGTGGATCGAAAGACACAGCCATTTAGTCACATGCTTTGCGCGCAGCATACTTTTTATATTTAGTAATTTGTAAAAGAATGGTCGCTTAACATGTTTCTTTCCGTGAGCTGTGCTGACGTTTCGAAACAGTTGCATGGAGCTCGTGAGCCCCAATTCGGCTCCATATGCACATAAAAATAAAGTTTCCCTTATTTTTAATTAATTAATAACCACGCCATAAACACATATGAGGGAATGGAGGTACATCTCCACCGCTCTTCACCTCGGAACTAGATGGAGGTGAGTGGTCAGTTTCACTCTCCGGCTGATTTTCCCCCAAGGAAAAACATTTCTATACCCATTGTACAGGAGACTGGGTGGGCTCCAGACCCGGTCTTGATGCTGTGGAAAAATAAATGTCTCTTGTCATTACCGGGAATAGAACCCCGGTATTCCATACTATCTAAAAAACATGAAAATATAGCCAGTGAGTATGAACAATACATAAAACGATGGAATGGGGAAAATGGTTAGTCAAAAAAGTCATATGTACGCATTTATCCTGCGAAAATCATTTGGTTTCACAATTTCCAAGTCCCTAAAGGACTCCCCTCTATAACTAAGAGAGCATAAGTTTGTAACATCTGACTGATAATTCTGACGCTGTGTACGACATGAAAATTCAATTCACCACTGCTCCTCTCCGCCATTTCCTCAAAAATTTATGTTGCGTAGTCAGTCTGCTCTTAGCCGCAATGTTGTTAAAATTACTTAGCAGTGCAAGTGTTTCGAAATTTTTCCCCTCATTGCGTGCTGACAAGGCAACATTTCTCCTAAGGACTACACTGTACCGTTCATCTCTCTTCGCACACAGCAACGTTTCCTGCTGCAATACAAACTTCCATACAAGCATTGTAATCCCTGCTTTCACTGGCATGAGTATGTGTGAATTGATGGATACATGCTTTCACGATCGTTAGTAGCTTATGTCACGTCTCTTCATCTACTTCTTCAAATTTCTCACGCGCATATATCGGCAAATCTGTCTGGCTTGGACTATACACAAGAAAAAATTACAGATGGATATCTCCGATCTCTGGAGTGACGCTTAAAAGGCAAATTTAGGGGGGGGGGGAATAGTGTAATGTACACACTGATAGCATAACAAAATTGCTTCATGCTTCGGGTATAATATAAACGGTTTTCGTCATGATCAATTAAGCACCATTAGATTGGGAAGCGGAGGTATAGCTCCACGTATTTAACTTCAGCGTTGGATGGAAGAAAGTGTCAAATCCACACCTTATTCCGGGGGAAAAAATATCAGGGTAACATTTGACAGGAGGCTAGATAGGCTTCAGGGGAGGCCCAGACACAGTGGTGGAAAGAGAAATCATTACCCACACCAGTAATAAAAACCAAAACAGGTGTTCACATGGGATTTATAAAATGGATACGGAAGAAAGGAAGTAATAATCTTTTGCGTGATGACCCTTAAGAGATAAGAAAATAGAATACCCACAAGGACTATTTTTTGCTGGGGGGGGTATCATAGAATAAATGTCTCACTCTGGTGGTAACAATCCGCAACATTTCTAGGCCTCTTGCCTCTGTGACTTAAAAATCTTCACACAACTGACCTTGGTCTGGCAACCTGGGAGTAGTAGCGGTCAAGCTCCTGCAGATACTTGAGGGTGTCCGCCATGGCTGCCAACTGATCAGGGTCCGTGGGTTTGGCCGACACGCTGGGAGTAAGGCTGGGTATGAGGACCAGCGCGCAGCCCAACAGAAGAAGACAGTACAGGGAGCTCTGCATCTCGAAGCACGTGATCTGTAACGATTAAACTACGGTCAGTGGTGAAGGAATCGGTCGAATTTGGGTGTGAGGTTATTGGGGGGGGGGAGGTATTTAAAGATAATATCAATATCTAGACTCTGTATTCGAACGGTGGCATGAATTATAAATAGGTAATTGAAAACGAAATTGTACCTGGTCTAACTGAGGTATTGCCCTTGAATTTGTCCGGAGAGACTGAGTAGAATTATTAGAACTGTCAAAGATAGTTTGTGTCCCAGCCGAGATTCGAAGCAAGCACCACGTACCTACGTCTTGGCCTTCCCAATTGTCTCTTACCTTCTGACTTCCTCAAAAAATCCTATATGCATTCCTCCTCGCCCCCATTCGTGCTACATGCCCTGCCCATCTCATCCTCCTTGACTTTATTATTCTAAATATACTTGAAGAAGTATAAAATAAAATAAGGTGAGATGGACAGGTGAACAGAGAAGTTCATGGAGGTAGGCCTAGACCCACTGGGACTGTAGTGCCAAGGGGGGGGGGAAGAAAGAGATGAACAGGACATTTAGCAAGGACTTGGAGAAAGAAATATATAATGTGTTTTGATAGGAAAAGGAAATCACTAGAAATATGTAGACATAGGTTGATATTAAAATGGGATGAGGCCTTATGGACTCTATTCGTCTGGAACAGGGTGATCCTTATTCTGAGATTTTAGTTTTTTAAATTTTTTAAAATACAAATAATTTATATTTCATTCACATTTAAGTCTCATATTTCGGGAAATTGGTAAATAGGTAAATAGTCATAATGCAATTGAAGCTTTGGAAACACGTTTCATGCAAATTAACTACAGCTTATTAAATATATTACGTAAGTATTCGATTATTTCTAAACTGTATTGTGCATGCAGGCTCCATATTTATGAAGCGCTCTCTTACGGACGTATGTTTTGGAATTATATTAAAACAGAAATATTTCTTTCAGGGTTTTGGAGAGAATTCAGACTGCCGTTAATTTCCGCTTCCTTTCTTGCATTTCCTGTTTCCACACTGTGGTCAAGTTAACACGCTGTGACAAGCAGTTTTACGTGAAATACAAAGTTCACAAGAAACAGCGTGCTGGGGGATTTGAGGAAATGTTATGCTCATGTAAACGTGAGCGTCCACACCGCTTGAATTAATGACAAACGCAGATGAGCAGTTCCTGTCGACATGCTCACCTCAAGCGTCCAGAATTCCAACACAGGAGATTGAGCTTACCTCGACGTTCTGAAGCACGAATTTCTTCGTAAAAATATTTAAATATTCAATTCGTACCTCACAGTAAACACGCTACATCTGCTTTCGAAAGAACAACCGGGTAATGCTGCTTAGGGAAATAGCCAATGCTAATGTTTTTTTTTCAGAGAATCGTGTGAAACATGCATTGTGTGGCGCAAAAAGAAAGAGTTCTATTATTAATATTAAGCATGTGGTACAAATAAACTATCTATCTATCTATTTACGGCTCTAGAGCCCTTTGTTGGACCTTGGCCGCTTTTCAGTTTCCTGATCACTTACACAGTCAGTAGGCCTCCTTGGACGGGGGATCAGCCCGTCGCAAGGAAGCTACCTGCACACAGGACAACACAAACACAGAACAGACGCACACAGACATCCATGCCTCCAGTGGGTTTCGAACCCACGATGCCAGTGTTTGAGCAGCACTGATCGGCACATACGTGTATAATAACCATTACGTTTTAAAGTGTCAATACTCGGTGTAACATCTGCACCATGAATTTTCAATATGGTGATCAGCGCAATAAGTTTAAAAGAGTTTTTCAGATAATTATAATTTTGATTGATTAATTCTTTGCTTACATAATGTCACTGTGAGTTTTCAACCCATCGCTATGGTAACTACGAAGTGTAGGTGTTCTGGGATGTAATGACGTGTAGTCTGGTGTAAGTTTACTGACGTTTCGAAGGAGAGTATTGCCTCAACCTTCATGATCGTAGAAGCAACAGAAGCAATAAGTAATTAATCAAGGAGAACGGTGATTCTGTCAGCAGTCTGCTTGAATTCTTACTATTTTCCTCATTTTACTCTTCTACTGTGAAGATTGAGGCCGTGAATTCCTCCGAAACGTGGAATAAATTCTGCTACATTTCGCGGGGTCACATCTCAGACGATAAAACTCTTTGTATAACGTGGTTGTTTTTTTTTCAGATATGGTCATATCTTACGCGGTAACTGCCTTATAAAAGAAGTTATTGAAGGAAAGATAGAGGGGCGGACAGAAGTGACCAGAAGATGCTGGATGACCTTGGGGACAGAAGAGGAAATTTAATTTCAAGGAGAAAGCTCTAGATCGCATGACGTGGAGGAACTGTTTTGGGAGAGACTGGGGACCTGTCGTCTGAGAGATTACTGATGAATGAATGAATCGTAATATCAGTTTGAACGGCTCATGGCTGATAAGGAATTATGGATAGAGGCAGGAGTAGTAATAGTGAATTTTTAAGGTAAAATTCAGGTACAATTTCTTTATCAAAGTCCGTCACAACACAACAATCTCTATTCCCTACAGAACTGACAAATACATTGTTAGATGAGGCACCGACTAAACAATTAACGTCAGAACTATACTACATCTATACCACTGGCCTCCAAGCAGTGTATTACATGTATACAAGTCTGAATATACAGCTATATGTCCGCGGGAATATAACAAATTGCAACAAACTGACTTGGTGATATAGAATATCACATGAAGAGTTTTAACTTTATTCTATGCCATAACTTTCGTTTTAATAAGTTTGTAGTTCATTGTATTTTTACGCCATGTATTTTATAATGTAACAGTTCAGCAGTGTGTGAATATGGTGATCATGTGTTTACCTGATGATGGCTTTAAAAGCCAAAACATGTAGCCAAGCTAAGTTTAACCTTGACCATTATGTTGTTGTGTGCTGGCTTCCCGCCGTGGCGGCCCGAGTTCGAGCCAGGGTCTGGTCAAGTGGGATTTGTGGTGAACAAAGTGACGCTGGGGCAGGTTTTCTCCGAGTACTTCGGTTTCCCCTGCCAATCTTCATTCCACCAATTGCTCCACAATCATCCTCACCTATCATCTGGGACTGGTACAACAGGCCAGAAGTGGCCGCAGTACAAGGGACTCAGTCCCACCCCACTAGCAATAAAGAAATATATTGTTGTTTTACGACGGATTCGAATAAAGAATTGAATACAATAACACAACAGGATGCATGAAATGAAAATTAAAATTCAGGTATTTTCTTGGAGTGAATGGGGAAAACCACGAACTACATCGGCCATGATTACCGATAGTGTGGGAAAGAGTGGAATTTGATACATTCTGGATACAAAACTATAGCCTTTAGTGCTATAACTTCGGCTCCTTTCAAGTGATACTGAAAATACTTGTACTTTTTATGAACAGAGCGCATTCGCCCGATCTGGGTTTATTTCCGTGACTTAAGGGTCATTCAAGAGGGAATTTGAAGGTCTACTTCCACCTGACAGTAAAATGCGAAGAGTGGTAACCCCCGTGAGCGAACTTAACCTCTTTGCAATACAACGATCGTCTTGTGTTCGGAACGTTGTACAGTTTAATTTATTTAACAACGTTGTAGTAATTCAAACTATATACAGAATGTCCCAGGAGGAAAGTTCAATATTCTGTGAGGTCATAGTATCGGTCATTCTAAGCAGAAAATTGTACATGTACATATGTTCTATTCCGAACGGTTTCCGAGACAGAGCTATTTCACTGTACACTGTAGAGACGAGCAACACGCCATGCCCCAACACGAGTTGTAAAGTGCATTGTTGTTGACGGTGGATTTTTCTAAAATGTGTTATATCAGGTAAATTTTACCAACTTTGTCACTTGGACAATAAATACCGCGACTGTGGTCTGGTGGTCAGAGTTACTGGCTACAGATCCAGAAGTCCCGGGTTCGATTCCCGGCGCTACCAGATTTTCTGATAAGTAGTGGGTCTGGAAAGGGGTCCACTCAGCCTCGTGAGGATAATTGAGGAGCTATTTCAAGGAAATAGTGGCTCCGGTCTAGAAAATCGAAATTAACGGCCGTGGGGATTCGTTACGCTGACCACACGACACTCTCTATCAGCTAAAGTTGGCACTAACTTCGCCGACAAACGGCAGTCGCTCGGTCGGTATAGTTCGCTTGCGGACTACAGGCCATTGAGTTTGTTTTTATTTATTAGAAACAGTACGTAATATCTCCCTCATCAACAACTTTGGAGCTGTAAAGTGAAATAGCTGTATCTTGGAAACAGCTCGGAAGAGGACACGTGTACATACACATCATTTTGCTTGGAATGACCGATACTGTGACCTCTCAGAACATTGAGCCCCTAGGCTATGCAACGAGGATCTCACGCAACTAGAATTAGAATTGAGTTGACTCTCCGGAGTTGGCAGTTGGCAGAATAATTAAGAAGAGATGGAAAGAAAGGAATTAGGCTGTGCAAAGAAAACTTCATAGTGTGATTTGAAGTTACAGTGAGACCGTTATAAATCCGTTGCCAGGATACGACTACTGAAGACGGAGAACTCTAATGTGTTTGCAGCAGTGAACTGTCAAATATGTAGATCAGCGGTAGCGCTGTAATTATGTGTAGTTTCGAGTGCTGTGTATAAGATGTAGGGGGCACGCGGTAGCATAGTTGGTTGAGGCACTGTGCTACAAGCCGGAAGGTCGCGGGTTCAAGTCCCGATGAGGTCATTATATTTTTTTAAGTGACCTAATCCTTCCGGCCGCACTATGGCCCTGGGGTCGACTCAGCCTCTAACAGAAATGAGTACCAGGAATTAATTAAATAATTTTCCTGGTGAGTAAAGCGCGGCCGGCGCGTAAGCCTGACAACCTGACAGCTGACTGTCTAGAAAATGTAGGAACCTCAACATCTCACAACCCTATGGGCCTCCGCGGCGTGATACAGGGCTACCTTTATTTATTTTTTATTTTTTATATACTGATTTTGTAGATATATTTACGATCTTTCTCAGCACCAAATTCGTAACACCCAGCTTCGTAACTAACTGAAACGTTTGTTTCCAATTCCCGTTTGCTTTCGGCTACTTTACGCAGAGAGAGAACTTCTTCCCGAGTCAGGACTGCCCGCTCAATGGCTCATCAGTTAACATTCCAGGTTCTTCATTAAATGGATTTAATTCTTCTTCCACCTCTGAAGTTTGCACTGCTGTCAATATTGTGTTACCAATGGCATGGAATTGTAATAAACATATATAAAGGGTGTATTCCAGTAATAAGTGGGAGAGTCAGTATATACGTCACAAATGGAAGTAAAACAGCTGTAATGGACGTAATAGATTTTCTCTCTATATCACTAGGTAGTAGCACAGTCAAGCGTAATGACAGTCTAGGTAGCAGAAGCGCATGCGCATGTTCAGAGGCTGGTTTCAGTAGTCAAAATGGCGACCGTGATTCAGGGTCACACTATAGCAGAGTAGCGTTCTGTTTGCGTTTCTTGTGAGCAAAAGAACTTAGTGTGAAGGGTATTCACAAAGAAATGTTTCCTGTTTACGGTGGGAAGTGTCCGGAAATAAATGTTTTTCAGGTTCGAATATCACATGTTTTTAGTTTTATAACAATTTGTGACCTATTTACTGTCTCTCCCCGTAAGATAGTCATACCGAGTTTCATGAGGATCCAAGGATATGGAAGGAGGAGGTCGTGGTCTGATGCAACACATTAATTCGTCATTTATCCACAGACTGAGGAAAACCATAAAAACTTAACCTCAGAAAAATTCACATCATGTACCTACAGAGAATATCGCTGTTCCACGTCCTCTTTGCGAAATGTTGACTTCCTCGACAGAAGAAACAGATGACAGATGATAGATTTGCAACTGAGTGGTAGACAGAATAAAAGTATTTTCTGTATTCGGAAATATCCCGATGACATTTCTACAAATAATGGCAAACAATTTTAATTTGCATTTGTGTTTTATAAACAAAAATTCGTGCATTTTTTGGAAGACCTGTTTTGAATGAGGTTGGGGCCAGACATTTGAAAAACCATATATTGTTACGTTCCTATTTATGTATTCGTTAAAATCCGTTAAATTAGGTTTACGGAGATTTCAAATTTACGAATCAACATATATTTAATGGATTACGCGGTTTTATGCCAAATGAAATACACATGGAAAAAAATATTTCATTGTTGTTTTGTGTACGATAAATTCTCGGCGCAATGTTTTGGAGAGAAACGAATTCAGGAATTCCTGTCCTTTATTTATGGTGTGAAATACGACACAATTTCGTCAGCGAGTACTAAATACTTTATAATGGTCGGTTCATGTTATGAGATTTAACATACATATATATAATTTTTCCCATCACATATCTAATAATCTTTCCTAATTATTCCACAATGAGCCATATTTTTCGGCATATATTGGTCACGTTAAGGCCGTAAATTATCTTAATATCTTATCTTATCTTAAAAGATATACATGTAACATTCATATAATTTAGTCTAACAGGTCACTTCTTTTTTAGTTGAAAATTACAATTCAAAATTATTTTTACATTTAGCTATTATAAATAAAAACAATGCGAGAACACAGAAAAATGCATATGTTGTGTGACCGGAAAATTTTGTGTGTCTCGAGTGATGGTTATTTACAGTCAGCAAACTTTTTTCGTAAAGAATTATTTGCCGGTATTCTACTGAACAGAAATAAAAACATAAAAATAAAAATTGAAAAATACAATATACCGGCAGATGTGCCGCTTTTGGACAAGTTTAACGCTATGCATCAGTTATTTAATAGTGTAGCAGTGAGGACCGGCTGAAAAGAAGATCTCGAATTTTAAGAGTATGTAACCGGATAATAAAATATTTTTAAATAAATTTATTTGTAGGAGGAATGACGTTTTCATTATTTTTCATAAATCGAATACAAGCTTAATTTCTGCATGCTAAGAGCATACGTTTTTTCTTCTTAAGTCTGAAAGTAAAAGTTCATTATTTTTAAAAATGATTGGAGGATTCGCAGTAAATGTGACAGCAACATTTGTTGGCTCTTCTTAAATTTAGGGGCAAATCATTTATTGCCATATCCATGGGGCTAAATCCCTCTTGAGAAACAAAAATCCTGACCTAACGAAATTCTCAGCATTTTATGGAACCAAAAATTTCATTATCATATTCAGAAGGGTTCATCCGTCGTCCCTATCCTGAGCCATATGCATCCAGCACGGTCTCTCCCATCATATTCGTTTAATATCTATTTTAATAGCATTCTCCCATACATGTCTATCTCTCCTCCGTGCTACAAGACCAGCCTCTCATCTCCGTGGTCTGATTATCCTAATAATATTTTGTGAATAATAAGAATTACGGAAATCATCATTAACCTGTTTCATCTAACTTCCTGTCAGTTAGCTTTAGGTCATAATATTATCCTCAGGACCCTGTTCTCAAATATCATCAGTCCACGTTCTTCCCTTAAAGTGTAAGCCCAAGTTTCACGTCCATATCAAATTATAGGTAAATTATAGTATTGCATATTTAAATGTTTATGTCTTTAGAAAAAGTCGAGAAAACAAAAGACTTTGAAATAAACCTGTTTTTTCCCCATAAAACCCACAATTTTTAGTCGTTTAAAATATTCCGTTTAATAGCCTCGGCATTTTAAAAAGGAAATCCAAGGAGCTAAAGATTATTCATTGTTCTCAATTTTATTACAAATATAATCCATGTTTAAATAATACATACTTATGGAGCTGAGCCCTTCTTGAGGAGCCGCCAATTCTGCAGCTACTTAAGAATTTCCCAGCATTTTATGGAACACGAAGGTTCATTACCGTGTTCACAAGAGCCCTACACTGGTCTCTATCCTGCGCTAGATCAATCCAATCAATACAATTCCATCCTGTCTCTCTAAGATCCATTTTAATATAGTCCACCCACCTACGCCTTGTTCTTCGCAGTGGTCTCTTTCCTTATACCTTTCCCACCAGTATCCTATATGCATTCGTCTTCCCCATTCGTGCTACATGCCCTGCCCCCCTCATCCTCCTTGACTTGATCATTCTAATTATACTCGGAGAAGAGTACAAGTTATGAAGCTCCTCATTATGCAGTTTTCTCCAACCTCCTGTCTCTTCATCTCTCTTCGGTCCTAATATTCTCCTCAACACCCTGTTCTCAAACATCCTCAGTCTATGTTCCTCCCTTAATGCCAGAGACCAAGTTTCACACCCATTCAGAACAACAGGCGAAATTATAGTTTTGTATATTTTAATATTATGTGTTTTGGACAACAGACGAGACGACAAAAGGTTCTGGACTGAACAGCAGCAAGCATTACCCGAGTTCAGTCTCCTCTTATTTTCCTCCTGAATCATGTTTTCGTTTGTTATAGTCGTTCCCAAATATCTGAACTGTGCCACATTTTCAAAACATCTGTTTCCTATCTTCATGCAATGACTTTGTCCTGCATTTTGGTGACGAGACAGCAATATATACTTAGCTTAAATACTGTTTTCACTAAATCCGGAAGAAAAAGAAAAGAAACGCTCAAATATTACTCACGGAAACCTGCAGACGTATTGAAATGTGGACCGAACACCAAGTCCTACCTTTCTCCTCAGAAGTGAAGCGTAGGTGACAGAATCAAGAGACGACCGGCAAGCTGCGTCGTCGTGTTGCTAGCGCTCAGGCAACAATATCCGTCGTGTGGCATCGGGACGAGCGTTGCTTCCGCCTTATATATGGTTTATACACACAGCACAGTGCAGTAGCATTCCGCTTTTCCCGCCCCCGTCTTCGACGTCGTGACGTCATTAGAGGTCCAGCCTATGAGAGGACACCTTCTCCACGCGTTAACCTGGCACCCACATTAAATTACAGGACTGCGGGCCAGTTACAAAAATTGAGACGAATGCTCTAAAGAGAGCATACTCGTAAGTCTCCTTGTGAAATGTACAATGACTGTTTTCTCTTAAAGGGCTAAGTATACGAAGAATGAGGTTTATGGCCAATGAGAAATGTTGTGTAAGGAAGGAATTACCTCTGTTACAGTTTTATTTACAGACGTAATTCAGAAGGCGGGAGAAAGATGCGGAAATTACAAAGATGCGAGTCCAAAGTATTAATGTTCTATACAAACACTTTATTGCCCGTAGATTCTAAAGGGTTCTGACGACAAAAATATGTAAAGCTATCCCTGTAACAGGCCGTGGAGGCCCATAGGGTTGTGAGACTTTGAGGGTCCCACATTTTCTAGACAATGGCCTCACAGATGGCGATAAGGTTGTCAGCCTTACGTGTCGGCCGCCCTTTACTCCCAGGAAGATTGCTGATATTCATTTCTGTTAGAGGCTAAGTCGACCCCAGGGCCATATTGCGGCTGGAAGGATTAGGTTAATAGAAAAAATTCAGTGACCTCATCGGGACTTGAACTCGTGACCTTCCGGTTTGCAGCATAGTGCCTCAACCAACTACGCTATCGCGTGCCCCAAACAAGTGTTCTGACGATGGTGTATAATACTCAGAATTGCCTTTGTCCATCGTCCGTTATTCTAGAAAGTAGAAAACATAACTTTTCGGAAACTGGATCTGTTTCTGTCCTCAGGTCAGTGGGTAGGGAAGACACACACTTAGTTGCGTCACTTAGAAAGAGATGTCCAGTGACTGGGGTTAGCTAGCTATGAAGATAAGCCGGGTGTATGAGACATATAAATAAAAGCATCTTAGTCGATAGCTTGCGTATTGACCGATCAGGGATATGTGTAAATGAATGTTTACACCTTGCTACTCTGCATATTGTGATGTACCATACAAATAAAGGCACTATAATTACCACGACCACGTACGTCTGGGACAGGAAGAAAAATCCAGGAAGCAATATTTATAAATGTGTGAAAATGAAGGTATATAAAACAAAATTTGCTGCAACTTCTTTATGTACTCGTACTTAAGCCGGCCATACACACGTTTTCTTGCTCCTCACTTTTCCTGCTCGCTGACTGCAAGACGGCACTAGACAAGTGGCCGTGGCTCGGTCGGTATATTTCGCTTGCGGACTACAGGCCACAGAGTTTGTTTTGTGTTTGTTTTTACGGCAAGACGGAGAGCTCGCACGAAGGCTATCACGGATAGCACTTTGTCGTACTGCCAACTGCTCGAAGCAAACATGTCAGACGAACGTAAAAAACAAAGTTCAAGAATTATTGCTTCATATATATCGATGTTCAATGTCCACTAAAATCAGACTGGATGATAACTTCTCAATTTAGTACATGTTCAGTCCACAGTGGCCGCGCGGTCTGAGGCATGAACTGCCTTAGCTCGCTCGAACGCTGGGGTCGTGGGTTTTAATCCTACTCAAGACATGGATGTCTGTGTGTACGTTTATTCTGTGTTTGTTTTGGTCTCTGTGTTAGGTACAGACCTTGAGCGGCCTCCGTAGTCTAGGGGTAACTTTCCCAGCTCATGACTCAAGGTACGCGGAGGTCGTGGAATTTTTAATGGCGGAAAAATTCAGGGAAGAAGTCCATCGGGAGGGACTTTAAGCCATGGGTCCCGTCTCGTAGATTTACGGCACGTAAAAGATCCTCATGTCTCTAGGAGACCTCTGAGAAAAAATGGCAACAAGTTTCCCGCCCAAGTAGTTTCCAATGCCTCTGGTAGATGGGGGAAATATCAGGTACCGAGGGCCGACCTCGTTGGCTGAACGGGGCTGATAGCACGCACCAGTACCGGTAGGGTATGGCGACAGTAGAAATTAAAGGGGGACGCACAATGGACCAATAACTGTTCTAAGTGCATGGGGAAACCCACAACCTCTAATAATAATAATAATAATAATAATAATAGGTACAGGCCTTGCGACGGCGTGATCACTCGTCCAAGGTGCCTGCCGCCTGTGCAAAAACAGATTACGAAACTGAAGAAAAGGTCAGGGTCAAACACAGGGCTGTAAAGCCATTGCTAAATGACTGAATTTACAAAATGCGCTAAGGTATTCTTTTCCGAATATTATCGTTGCTCTGATCTACGTCTCCTTTGAGAAATGTGCTGTTATGCTTAACTGAGGTGAAGATTCAAACTAGGGTCTTCAGGGTCATGACAACATTTACATTGAGGGGGGGTCGAGTTTTCGAGTATCGTAGGTTTTATAACGTTCTAGTGTAAGATATTGGATGTTTTTATTGCTAGTGGGGTGGGACTAAGTCCCTTGTACTGCGGCCACTACTGGTCTATTGTACCAGCCCCAGATGATAGGTGAGGGTGATTGTGGAGCAATTGGTGGAATGAAGATTGGCAGGGGAATCCGAAGTACTAGGAGAACACCTGCCGCAGCGCCACTTTGTCCACCACAAATCTCACTTGACATGACTCGGGATCGAACCCGGGCCGCCGCAGAGGGAAGCCAGCGAGTAACCGCTTGAGCTATGGCGCGGCCAAGGATAATTGATAGTACATCTCATAACGTTGAAGGGGAAGATAATTGATAAATGATAAATTCAGGTGCTATCACTGCATTCGTCCGGAGGGCACGAACAATCTCAGAATAGAATGTCTTCCGGAAATGGATTCGAATCGGGTATAGTTAGTTAGTTAGTTAGTTAGTTGGAGAGGGTGCGTTTCCCCATGCACTTATACCTGCATTCGTCCATTGTGCTTCCCTATATGATTTCTACCAGTCTCTATATCCTACCGGTATTGGTACTTACCATCAGTCCCGCGCAGCCAGCGAGACCGGCTCTACTGGCTGAGAGGTATCTATAATGCTTCCCCCATCTACCAGAGGTATTAGAGACTGCTGTTAGGCGGGAAACGTCCGCAATTTGGCTCAGTGACCTCCTTTGGAGATATGAGGTTCTTTTACGTGCCGTAAAGCCACGACACGGGACACACGGCTTAAAGTCCCTCCCGGAGAACTTGTTCCCTGAATTTTTCCGCCCTTAAAAATTTGACGACCTCCGCCGGGTATTTGAACCCACGTACTACGAGTCATGAGGTGGGAACGTTACCTCTAGACTACGGAGGCCGCTCGAATCAAGTATATCTCGAATATGTTTAAAAGTTTACCCGGTAAACCAACCTAATCGATAATGTTCTGCAGTCACGTGGTGTGTCACTCACTCATGGAGCTGAGCCCTTCTTGAGAAACTGCCAATTGTGCAGCGACTCGAGAACTTCCCAGGATTTGCTGAAACCCGAAGGTTCATTACCCTGTTCACAGGAGCCCTCAACTGGACCGTATCCTGAGCCACAAGAATCCAATCTATACCACCTCATCCTGCATAAGATCAATTTTAATATTGTCTACACACCTACGTCTTCCCAGTGGTCTCTATCCTTCTCGCTTTCCCGCTAATATTATATATCAATTATTCTCCCCACTTCCTGCTACATGCCCTGCCCATTTCATCCTTGACATGATCATTCTAATTATACTTGGAGAAGAGTACAAGTTATGAAGCTCCTCATTATGCAGTTTTCTCCAACCTCCTGTCACTTCATTTCTCTTCGGTCCAAATATTCTCCTCAACACCCTGTTCTCAAACACCCTCAGTCTATGTTCCTCCCTTAATGTCAGAGACAAAATTTCACACCCATATAGAACCATAGGCAAAACTACAGTTCTGTATATTCTAATTTTTATGTTTTTCGACAGCAGACGAGAAGACAAAAGGTTCTGGACTGAATGGTAGCAAGCATTACCCGAGTTCAATCTCCGCTTAATTTCCACCTGAAACAGGTTTTGATTTGTGATCGTTGTTCCCAACTATCTGAACTGTGCCACATTTTAAGACGAATATTCTGCCTCATTTTATCAGGGCTGAAAATAGACTACAACTCGATATTATAAACCAGAATCTCGCAAAAAGTGAAGTACAAATGTCGGAAACCAAGAACTCGCGTAGATATCTGGATATTCAGGGGTTTAGATATTTAAGGCGTTTACTATATTGGAAGGAGGAATTACATAAATTGTGATTCGAATATGCAGTTTGGGCAAAAGAGGTAATAAATTAACAATAAAAAACACGCAGCACAAGAAACAACAAGAGGGAACACAACCCACCAACCAAAACATGCATGCGCATCGAGAGGACACATATATATATTAACAACATGAGCAACAGTAGACAACAGCAGTTTCCTCACCCAATAGTTTTAACACCTGAAGATGGCATTCTAGAATTGAGGAGCTGTTTCAAGGAAATAGCGGCTCCGGTCTTGAAAACAGAAATTAAAGGCAGTGGGGATTCGTTGCTCTGAGCAAGCAACACCCTTCATCCGCTAAAGTTGGCACTAACTACGCCGACAAGCGGCGGTCGCTTGCGGACTAAAGCCAGGGAGTTTGAGGATGACCGTATTTATCGAAATGTATGTAGTAGTGATGGACTTTTAATTTTTTAAATAGGGGATATATAATGTGGACCAGCTACCATTACGTCAGATACCCGAGTGGAGGCGGATTCGAATACCTCCATCGCGAACCTGCGAGTCGTAGGATGCGACAAAAAGCGAAGTCTCAAATCTGAGACAGTAAAATATGGTCGCGAGTTCCAAAGGACTCGGACCCGAGAAAGACACAAGCATATACAAAAGACAGACCCATCCTCTCGTCAGAGAGACAGACCCACAAAAACAAAACCGTAACTATCAAACAGTAATAAATATGTGGTCATGAGCAAGATTTACTGACTGACTGATCGTCAGTGGCAACGTTACTTTGACTTCGATTACGTCAG